TGCTTCTTATTGTTTCATCCCAGAAATTATGTGGGAGAAACATGCTAGAGGAGAGATGGTTTACAGGAAGAGATGAAGCTCACAGGTCAGACTGACACTGAGCACTGCAGAACCTTACGAAACTGGCAGAGAGCAATCACGGTCTCTGTTGATAGCTGCTAGACTGTGTTCTTCCCTGAATTTGAGAGTCATCTTTCTACCTCTCTATCCTGGTCTTCTAAGCAGGTCAGTTGTTGGCTATGCAAACATATTTCTCATCCTCCTTTATACTTCAGACAGGATAATTCTAAACAGTTAGAATGTAAGTTCTGCTGTTTTCCAAGACCTGTTTATTTTTGGCTGGATTCCCAAATGTGTGAGCTTTGTGACTTATTAAGAGCAACTGCATTTAGTGCTTTCTGTAGAGGTCTTGTGTAGGTGATTTGAATGTGCATGGTGCACTTCTCAAGAATTTTGAGACTAATGCCATATCAGCCTGTCTGTAAATGTAAGGATAAATATAGGTGTTTATGGCTGTTCCAACTGCATTTCCATATTTCCATAGTTTCAGTAAATATAAAAAGTGTTGAAATTCACCAGAACAAAATTTCTAGTATGAGAGTATGTTTGCAGAAATCTAAATATACGACAGCTTGACACAGAAAAAAAGTAGAGGCAAAGTTTTAACACTGAGGCCCTATTTTCAGTGGCACTGGCAGCTATGAGACTTTCAGGCCTGAACTATAGTTCAGTAACCAGACAGGTTGCATCCTAATCTGATTTTAAAAATGGCGTACACAAGAATGTTGCAAAAATATTTGAGGAAGAGGCACAAAATCAGAAATCCTGTGTTTGGATGATGGATGAGTGTCAGGAGTTGGATTTGATGATCCTTCTGGATCCTTTTCAACGGGGGATAATTATGATTCTATGAATGAATGCTAAGTAGGTTTCTATGAAAAGCATGCTTTTGTAGAGAAGGATATTAGAATTTATGAATTCCTGTCTGCTTTTTTATTGGAGATGAACTGATTAATCTTTTTTTAAAAATTTATATGCCTTTTCTATTTAGAAACCACTGTAAACTGAGTAGTTTTTTTTTTTGTTTTTTTGTTTTTTTTACTGTTCATGAGCCTTGACTCACAGTTTGAGGAAATAAATATCACCTATACACTTTTAACAAATGTTCATTTTTGTTATTTAGAATTTGTGGTTTGAACATTGCTCACTTTTATGATTCTGTTTTATGACTGGAAGTTTTTTAGCAGCAGAATCAGCATGAAGTAATGAATAATCTTGTTTAAGGATGAAGACTTTTCTAGCCAGCCTTTGTTCTAAAAAAATAATGAAGAAAAATAATCTGGTACAAATTATATAAAAGAGCAAAAGAAAAAAGAATGTAGCAGTGGTTGACTTATACTTTCACTGAGTTTTCCAGTGACTGATTTAAATTAACTATAGATACTGCAAAAATAGCCATCAGCTATCGAAAACAATGTGAGTGTTCCTTCAGTAGCTTTAGAAATATGTTTACCTATAGAAAGAGCTTTATACGTACTAACATCCAGAGAAATAAGGCAGGTTTTTCAGAATTTGCAGACTACTGTAACTTTGCTTTCAAAATTGTTTGAACATATTGAATCTGTAGGACATTTTAAGTAACAGAGTTAGAGAAGGTATGTACTATAGCATTTATTCAAATTGTATGTAGTATTAGCTTGTAATAAACATTTAAGATTTGTATTTAATAGCATGATCAGATGAAAAATTTAAATGGAATTAAAATAAAAAAGTAAAGCTTATGGGCATTATTTGTGATTATATTTTAAACCAGAAGAAGTTATGTACATTCTGGGCTGATTAAGAAAATCTCAAATCCTGTGTTATTCAAAGTTAGGTTTAACACATAGTTGACTTCATCATATTTGGCAATAGAGGAAATAGAATAATAGAATCATAGAATCACTCAGGTTGGAAAAGACCTTAAAGATCATCAAGTCCAACCATGACCTAACTAAACTACCCTAACAACCCTCCGCTAAATCATGTCCCTGAGCACCACATCCAAAAGGTTTTTAAACACATTCGGGGATGGTTACTCAACCACTTCCCCGAGGAGACTATTCCACTGCTTAAAAACCCTTTCTGTAAAGAAGTTTTTCCTGATCTCCAACCTAAACTTCCCCTGGCTGAACTTAATGTCATTTCCCCTCATCCTGTCACCCGTCACCAGTGAGAAGATGCCTCAGTGAGGGAAATAATAGCAAAACTGGCTAGAAATAGTAAGAAAAAAGAATAAAGACAGATGTGTCCAAGAGGAACTCTAATTAGAATACCACTTTGCCTATGTTTTCACACTTTCATTTGTTGCATGAAAGCAATCCTTTAAATAGTTGAATATGCATACACAATGAATTTGAGGGCTTAAGTTAGTATTTATCAACTTATAAAGTGAATACAGAGAGTAAATTAGCAATAGTCAATGCTGCAGTGCATTTCAAGGATATGTAGAAAGGTCGTATTTCCCAAATACATTACTCAGCTTTGATAGTCATGTAAGATTTTGTTTTTCCAGCTGTGGTGGTTATGAGTTTGTCAACAAGAAAGCTGCAGAAAAGTCCTAGTGGAGAAATGACCGGTTAAAATCATGTTTCCATTAATGTATATATATATATATATATATATATATATCTCTCAGGGAAGCCATTGTCTGTAGGGTGTATGAGAATCAACACCTGATTTTTTCTTCAGCAGAAAACATGTGCAGTAGGCAAACTATATTCTGTCACTGCTTGCTTATTCAGTACTTAGCCCTTTTTCTGAGGTGAACTTCCATTGATTAAAGATATTATTATTATTATTATTATTATTATTATTATTTACTTACAGAGTCAGTGGCACAGAGTCTGGTTGGAAACCTATAATTAGCAGTGTTCCCCAGAGGTCGGTGCTGGGTCTGGTCTTTTACAAAGCTGGGAGGAGTGGCTGGCAACCAGAAGGACATGCAGGCATTTAACAAGATCTAGACAGACTGGAGAGTTGGGCAGAGAGAAAGCCAATGAGTTTCAACAAGAGCAATAGTAGTCTTGCATCTGGGGAAAAATAACTGCATGCATCAGTACAGGTTAGGGCCTGACCTGGAAAGGAGCTCCGCAGAGAAGGATCTGGTTGTCCTAGTGATCAGCAGGTTGGCCATGAGCCAGCAGTGTGTTCTTGTGGCTAAGAAGGCCAGTGGTATCCTGGGGTACATTAAAAAGAGCATGGTCAGCAGTTTGAGGGAAGCGATCCTCTCCCCTCTACTTTGCCTTGGTGAGGACACATCTGGAGTGCTGTTTCCAGTTCTGGGCTCCCCAGTTCTAAAGAAGACAGCGGTCTCTTTGAAAAATTTCAGCAGAGGACAACAAAGGATGATAAAGGGCCTGGAGCATATCCCATGGGAGGAAAGGCTGAAAGACCTAGGACCCTTCAGTCTTGGAGAAGGCTGAGAAGCAATCTCATCACTGTTTATAGACTCAAATGCATGGGATTCAAGTCTGTGGGATTGGACTCTTTTCAGTGGTGAGCAACAGTAGAAGCAAGGAGCAAAAACTGGAACACAGGAAATTCTATATTAAGGCAAGGAATACCTTCTTTACTGTCAGAGTGACAGAGCAGTGGAACAGGCTGCCCAGAGAGGTTGTGGAGTCTCCTTCTCTGGAGATGTTCAAGACCTGCCTAGATTTCTACCTGTGCAACCTGCTGGACTCAATTTCCAGAAGTCCCTTCCAGCCCCTACAATTCTGTGATATATTTCAAAACAATTTTGTAACGATCTCAGTGAAATAGTAGCTCTGAATTTCTTTGGATCTACAATTTTGAACTGTCAGACAACAGGCATAAATGCATTGTAGTTGGCACCTAAAGACAAGACAATCCATTTGAATTTTGGCTGGAAAATAATGAAACTCCTGAAACTGAAAAACCTCTTGCAACACTACTGTCTAGGGTAGCAGCTCTGTTGAAAGGCTATAGAGCTTCACACAAACAGAAAGCTAAGCATCAATTGCATACCATGACTGTAAATAAGCCTAAAACATACTGACCTGCATAAAAAGGAGTGCAGACAGCAGACGGAGGCACAAAATTTTTCACTTTATTTGATTCAGCACTCATTAGACCATGCCTTGAATTCCCAGTGTAGGAAAGATAATGATAAACTGAAGTGTGTCAAGTAGGTGGCCACCAAGACAGTCAGAGAAGATGGTTGGGTGCCTTTTCTCTTTAAGGGCAGGTTAAGTAGCACAGGTCTTTCTTTTACTAAATTTCTAAGTAAAGATCTGATGAATGGCTTAATTCTGATAAATAGTAGACAAAATAATCCATTCCACTAACTTACTTTCTTTGGACTTCTGACTAAAGATGTTCCTTCTGAAAATCTAGTTGTTAAGTAAAGATTGATCTAAATACATCCATTTCCTGGTGCTATTGTAGGTAGAAGACAAGTAATTCCCTAAACTTTGGCCATTCTATGATTCTGTCTGTGCACTCCTTGCAGTCAAAACAGTTTTCTTTTTCTCTAATTGGAAAAGAGATAAGCTTCTTCCTTATGACATGGCATTTGAGGAAGCATTCATAAGAGTCAAAATATTTCCTAATGTTAGCAACTCTAGATTCAGCTACAAGATTAGTAGCTGAATGCTTCTGAAACTTTTGAAATTAGTTCTAAGTTACTCAATAAAATAATGTGTTATAAATTTAAATCACCAAATTTCCATGCCTTTGGAAAACTGATTTTCAATGAGTCTAAGTATTCATATATCTGATCATAACATTTCTGTTAGATTTGATGAACCTTTACATATTTAAAAATTAATAATCCCGTTAAAAGAGCATTCTGATGTAGGAGTTGTCTGCAGTAAATCAAACCAGGATGCAGTTACTGTTATGATTACACATATGCTTTTGCAATGAAATGCATTTTCTTCTTAAAGTCTGCTAATTGTGGAGATATAAGATGGTAACTTATTTTTTTTCTTTGTCAGCTGAACCAGTTGATGTGCTAAAAGTATTAGAATTTCATAATTCACCAGAAGGAGTATCAAGAACAGCAGGATTTTGCACTAACAGAAGAGATTCAAAAGGCTCAGATGTTGCCTACAGAGTTTCAAAAACTGCACAGCTCAGTGCCCCAACAAAGCAATTGTACCCAGGTAAGATTATCAGAAAGCTATTACTTTGTTAAATTATCTTACTGCCTGTCCATTTACGGTATCTAAAATTGCAGCGTGTAGTCCATTGTCAGTACCACAAAGTAATTCTGTTATCCCTAGAAGTGTGACTGCACACAAATGACAGGATGTGCTCTTAATCTGTGGAATGAAGCTGTTTTTATTGGTTTCAGTGATAAAGCTTTTCAAATTCTGCATCACCAGTAGAACAAGTCTGTAAGCCATGTTACCCAGTTTTTCCATGATTTTGTCTGAAGGAAAGCTTATTTGGTGGCTTTGGCATGCTTCCTCTCGATTCAGTAGAGCATTTAAAAGCAATTCTTTTTATGCTGGTAGAAATGAGTTGTGATTGGCCATTGCAATAAGTTATTTAAGAGTATCTGAGTATTTGGAGGACTAAACAAGGCTAGTTGTGGACAGCAAGTAGTGTGATTCCATCTTCTCTCAAATTTCTCTAACACGAAATAATCACATTTTGGAAGAAAATAATTGTACGTTGAAGAAGGGCTTTTACTCCATTAGTTTGCTATCACTCTTCATTTGACCCAAACATATTGAGGAAAATGATTATAAGGATATTAAAAGAAATCCTGAAACATTTAATTTTCCTACTTTGATACATCACATACAGTTTGATTAAGTGTCTCTATAAACACAGTTGTGAGCAAAGAAAATACCTTTTTTCTCTTTTGAAGTTTCAGTCATATAGACATCAGCAAAGATAAAATGGTCAAATATTTATTACTTTCTAGCAATAATGCATTCCTACAGGAATATGGGAAACAACTACAAACAGTTCAAGCATATCTTGCATGTTCGTTTTAATTATCAATTCACTTTTTTATTTTTGGTAGAAAATCAAAGTAAAATTAACTAGAAAGATAAAATTTGTTAATTTTTAAAACATGTCAACAAAGTTACATGTAGTTAACAGAGCTCACCACTTAAAAGTACTATTCACTGAATGGCACTTGACAATTTACAATGCCTTACCAATATCGGTATGATTGTGTGTAGTTGTTATTTCAAGTAAGTAAGGGTGTCAGAATGGAGATTAGTCTTTCTTTAAAAGGTGCAAAATGATCCATTATACTGAAAAATTGCAGAAGCTGCACTGTGTAATTGTCATCCTTATATTCTGAGCTTTACAATGTGTATCCTTGAAGCCAAGTGCTGTGAGAAAAAAACTTTAAATGTTCATTTAAATACAACTGGACAGATTAAACTGACTTTGACTCATTGATGTTGAAAGGAGTTTAGAACAGCACAGGCACTTTGTGCTGAATGAAAACCTGAGTCTCAGAGAGCTTGGGTTGTCTTGCACTTGCTCATGAATGATATCGTAGCATGAAGAGGTGATCTGGCAGCTTCACTAATAACTGTTCACTTGATTCTTACTTGAATGCCAGAACAAATATTTACCTCATGTTGTTGGCTGACTTGTAAATTTCTATAGCCTTTGACGGCCTTAACTTAAGTATTCCTCTTCTTAATGCTTTCAGTTTATGCATTACAACTTGGATGAGTTTGCTTGATTTCAATGGCTTGTTGCAACATTTGTGTGTGCAAGAAGTAAATAAAAAGCACAGATCACTGATAATGTGAAAAGAAACTACCACAAAACTTTGCTTAATACAAGAAAATGTCATGCTACCTTCTACTTCAGTGAAGAGCCTAGAAACAATTTTTAGGAAGTGATTATGACAATTGCTTCCTTTTAAGTCCTGCAAGACAGACATCCTCTCCCCACCACAAGAAATCCTTCATTTTCAAAGAATATTCTTATAGATATTTGGATGTGTCTGTCCCTTTTTCTTAGCATGAAATTTCTTCATTTCTTTTTTAATGATTGTGAAAAGACAACATGTGAAAACCAAGGTTGAGTTGTGAGATGCCATTTTAGCTAAACAAAATGAGTTGTAATCCATCCTATGCTTGCTTCCATCTAATTCCTATGACTCATCAGAGAGTATAGGTTAGCTTCTAGCTTCTAGGGAACTAATGATAAAAGCTGAGAGCATCAATAAATTCATCATTTAAAAATAGATCTAATAATATTCACCAACCAGAGAACAACAGACACTGATTTCACTGATTGGAAGGCATTGTACAATTGTAAAAGTAACTGTTGAGAATTTTGTCGTACTGATTATTTGTCAGTTATTAAATATCTTTTACAAAAGAGTGTATAAATGACAGGAATGTACATCCAGAAATACCCAAAGATTTTTTTTAGCAATTTTCCTCCAATTTTTTTTCTATTATTTTTTGTATTGTCCAAATAGAACAACATGAATAACCAAGAAATTTAGTAGTTTAGAAGGCTTTGATATCGGTTTCAGTTGAGTGTCCAAAACCTGTATATGCATAAACTTTAACATTCATTTTCTGTTAGAAAGTTCTTTATTTTTTGAATTTTAAGATGAACAGTGCAGGAATATTACTTATATTCACACAATGTATGTGCAAAATCTGGAAATATTACATCACTGCAGTGATAACGGGAACTACTGAACAAAGTAAGAGTCATCTTTAGTTATCTTTCTGATAAAACTCGTAAGTTCTTTTGATAGGATATAACCCGAATGAAGAGCACATGCCCAGAATAGATGTACACATCACCTGCCTTAAGCATTTTCTCATCAGTTTTTAAAATCATTTTTAATGATTTAAAAAGTTAAGTTGTACACGTTAAGAATTAAAGCAAGACCACAGTTACAAAAGAGAGCAAACATTTTCTTATGGTAGTTTTCTCTATATTCATTTTGGAGAATAAACAAAAAAAAAAAACAGATTATATATAGGATCCTCTTAGAGAAAAAATAAAATGACCATAGGGTAGTTACAGAATTTGTAACAGTATACTTTGTTCTCTTTGCAGATGGAGATTTTCCAGAAGATTTTTCAATACTGATGACAGTAAAACCTAAAAAGGGCATTCAGTCCTTCCTTCTGTCTGTCTACAATGAACAAGGAATTCAACAAATAGGTGTTGAAGTTGGAAGATCCCCTGTCTTCCTCTTTGAAGACCAAAATGGAAAGCCTGCCCCAGAAGACTATCCTCTTTTCAGAACAGTCAACATTGCTGATGGCAAGTAAGTGCAAAATTTTAAGGTGGAAAAAAAAAAAATAAATCACATCATATAATGGTCTTTCCAAATAGGTACTGCAAATAATTAACTAATTATGAACAATTTCCATATAGTTGAACTGCTGTGGTACAAAATCAGAGGAGCTTTGAAACGGAACACAACTCCAGCCTGAAATGGAGTACAGAGCCACCAATAAAACCAAACTTCTCTATTTCTATGAATTATGAGGAATTCATAGTGAGGAATTAGTGAGTGAGGAAATAGCCATGGAAGGTAAAAGTAAACTAAAGAAGACTCTTGCCGTTTTTTCAGAAGTCTGAAATAATAGTCTCACTTTAAGGGTCATCTACTCCATTTGAAGGTGATATGAAAACTGAAAGTAAATTGACATGAGAATGCATACTTTTTCCTATCCTGAGCTAAAACAATGGATGAATAAGATCTTTGATATGCCTGTGTATAAGGAAATTAGGGAAAAGTCAGATGGAGAATTAATTTGAAATGTTGCAAGGATTCACACTTCATCGTTATTAAAGGGAATTAATTTCAAACACTTAATGCATTCTAACTACAGGTGTTAATGCTTTATACTCTAACTTCCCTTTGAAGACAAGCAGTTGTTTCCAGGAATGCCATTCTAGTGCTTTTTGCATTTGTTATTGTTTCTTTTGAAGACATATATCCCTTCAGAGAATTAATACTTATTGTGCCACAGTTCAAGAAAAGCTGCCAGAAGCATCAGAAATGCACAAGATGGAATATTATTACATCTTTTTGTTTAATTAACAGATTGGTAGAGGAAAAGGTGACAAGTAAATTCAACTACAATGATATGTTAGTAAATTAATACAAAGATAAAGGAAATATTTTTGAAAAATAATTATCAATTATTATGACTTGAGTTGCCACACAATGAAATTTTACCATGAAACCTGAACATGGCTCTCAAAATTTCACCTAAACTCTTTAGAATCTGATAAAAAGAAAAATCAAAATGAGAATATTCTGCAGTGGGCATATAAAACTTCTAAGCCAACTGAAGTCAGTCACATAGTGAGCTATTTTTTCCATTCATTCAGCTTTTGCATGCTTTCAAAAATGGACTGAAATTTTCATTCTGATTCAGCTCTTTTAGGAAGGATCTAGGGCAGCCACCTTCATCTCAAAATGAAATATATTGAAGAAGTGTAAACAGTGTAATATGCCTGAGGATTCGTGGACAGTTTGCTTTTATAATGATAATATTTAACTGCGATCCAGAGCAAACATGAGTGAGCTCTGGCTCACTGATACTGTTTACCAGTCAGATTCCAATAGCCTTGAGGTGTCCCCCTTTGTATACAGCAGCTCATTGTCTAAGTTGTCTCACTGAAACAGACAGCCTCAACACTTTTTGCATCAAAAATGCTTTTTTTTTTTTTTCCACATTAAATTATAAAGTGCCTTACTCTTAGATATTTAAATAGTCATAGCAGGGAGACTGACTAATTAATATGCTCTGCCATTCAAATGTCATAAAGAACATAGTACAATTGGGCAAATTCTTAAAAATGTACCTATATGTCTTTTAAATATGTGTCAATATTCTGAACTGCTTCACTTTTTTGGTGAAGCTTTATGTAGAGGAAGCTATTTTTGCAGGAATATTGGCAATCATTTCCAGTAGTTGTAGCTGGAAAAACTACTATGTTGGAACAGAAAGGCAAAAGAATGTTATAAAATTTTCGGGATTGATCATCAAGAACAGATAGTAAAACATAGTAGCTAAGAGCTACTCTGAATGAGCCTTTTGCATGAGTCATTTAAGTAATTTAGAAAATCAAATTAGCCTACTCTGATAAAATGTAAACAGTGCACTTCTAATTTAAGTTCACTGGGCAAAAGCTTCAGAGAATTTCATCTAACATAGGATCATGACCTAATATGGGCTCTGCATCAGATTCCTTTGTACAAAAGAACCTAAGTTACACAGTGGATAGACAAAACACAATACCATTTGCACGTGTGAAGGAAATAGACATTTAACATTTTAGGTACAACTTTTTATCAGTGCACTAAGTGCAGTAAGCTGCTTTGATATAAATACATTGACGTACTCTTCAAAACAGGATTTAGAGTAGAATTATGTTTTAATAGGTGGCATCGAGTAGCCATTAGTGTGGAGAAGAAAAGTGTTACAATGATTGTTGACTGCAACAAAAAAACGACAAAACCACTGGAGAGAAGTGACAAACCAATTGTGGACACTAATGGCATCACTGTCTTTGGAACCAGGATTCTGGATGAAGAAGTATTTGAGGTAAAAAAAATCAATATTCAATTCCATTTGTTTTCTAATCTACTTTTAAGAAAATTGAGCTATTTAGTTTTGAGAAAAGGATTTAATTCAGATTAGAATAATTTTTACATGGGAAAAGTTGATAAAATGTTGAAACTCATTTATGAACATGTTAGAATAGGTTGAGATGAAAAACAAGAGAAACAGAAGTGTCTCTATTGTTAGAAGTTACAGTGCATTTCTCTGTTCTTTAGCTGAAATAGTTTCTGGAAAGGGCTTGCTTTTATTGTATTCCTGCCTACTATTGAGATACCTGAAATGTTTGTGAGAATTTCTGGCAAAGCTGAGTATTATGATAAAATTAGATATTATTTCAGTTCTGCCTCTCCTAAGCAGTTACTGATATTTGTGCAGGTTAACAGTGTTTGAGAGATGGGTGGAAAGACCTGGAAAGTTTTCTACATAACGTGGATCTCTTACATTGCTTATCCCACTTATTAATCTTTCCAGTAACTGGAACATACTTTGGCAATAAGGACGTATATGTTTCCATCATTTACTGGCCAAGAAATACATATAGGAAGGGTAAAATGCCTCTAAGGAAGTATGTGGCTGCCAATCATGAGGCCTTTTCAGGTAGAATTCTTATGTCAACGATTATTTTTGTGGGCTAATAATGCAGCTTCTCTAAGTCTGCACTGTAGAGTTTCTTTTATAATGCACTTATGCAACTGTGAAAACTGTCAAGTGCAAATTAAAACTGAACAATAAGAAAATACAGATCAGTAGTTAACTTAGTTCATGTACTGACCATCTGTGCTGCTTAAACCTTAAGCCAGAGAATAAGTCCTAGCTTTAAGTAGCATGCACGCTTAAGAAGTTGCATATATGATGCAAAAGAAAATGTTAATTTTAAGTGTAACATTGTGACATTGTTTCCTTCAGACATACTTTATATGACAAAACATTGAGCATTCTGATTTGGAGAATTTCTGGGCTGACTTAGTGGGTCAATTTTTATGGTACACATCTTGTATTTACAGCCTAATTTATCTGGAGTCACTAGTAAAGTTTGCACATCACTTTCCTTTTAAAGTTGAAGAAATCCCAAAAGTAACTGCTACATATTTTCTTGAATTGAAACTTATGTGTATAGTCAACTTGCAACAATCTGTGGCAGTGACTTAAATACAAATACTTTTCTCCAAGGGATTTTTTGTCTGAGATTACATGTGATCAAGAGTAATAAAGGAAGCTAGTGATCCTCTAAAATTTTTATTTATCATCTTCCACACTGACTTGAAAAATCCATCCATTCCATTTAAGACCCACTAAGAAATAAACCGGCTTTGGACTCGCACCATAAATAGTGCCATGTACAGTAATTCTGGTTTACCAGCTGAATCTCAGTATTCAGCGCTGAGAACAGCAACATGCCTGCCATTTGCAACATCACTGTAGATTTCCATTCTCCTTCCTAGTTAGGTTTGCTTATATACTTGATTGCACCCCTTTTCTCAGATAAACCAGTTACATTCTTGCTGTCCTTGTAGATGCTGGAGGTTAAGATTTGGTCTGAAGTTTCTTTCTTACTTATTGCTTAAAATAGCAGTTTACAGTTATTTCTTTTGTGATATTTTACTGCAGAGACAGAATTAGTATATTTATACAAACGTTCACAGTTATTTGAATCTTTAGCTAGAAAAGTTTGCATTGAAAGTACGCATTTGAAACATCCCTCAACATAAAAACAAAATACTGTGTCATATACAGTTTTACTGATACGTGTTCTTCAACTGTTGGCAAAGCAGAATATAACCTAGTTCTTTCTGAGTTCACCATGTTTTTCTGCTTCCTACACAGGTAGTATTCCTTTGTTTCATCAACATGACTTTATCCACCCCTCTAAGTTTCTGAAGTTTGGAGATCTCTTCTGCAATCTGTTTCCTTCTTGAGTCTCCTAGTTGTGTCTTAAATGCTCTATTTAGCTCATTCATAATAACAATAGCAGCACAGGATGATGTCTAGCGGTTCCGTGGACCTGCTTGGTGGTATTTCTGTGTTGTGAACCCTGCTATATCTCAAGGCCAGAGCAGACACTGAATAAACATGAAAAAAGCTACGTCTCATCATACTTGCAGGAAATTATGAAATTAGTTTATTCAGCAGCGACATTAGATTTAAGTGTTTAAGACTTAAAACTGCATAGGACAGACATTCCGCATGGCATTTGATGCCTATATTAGCTTAAGCGCAGCAACTACATAAAAAAGAAATAAGCATTCAGTCACCCGTTGGAATTCGCAGCTCAGAATGTCAGGTTTACACTAAAACAGAGAGTCTGTTTTATCTTGAGTAATAATGTTTTGGGTTTTTGTTTTTTATGCTTTTTTTTTTTTTTTTTTTGTCATACCAAGGATTTGATCACAGGAACTGTGTAATACCCTTCAGTCTCTTAAAACTGAATGGAAATTCAAAATGTTTACACAATGGACCTGTAAATAAATAATGTAATCTTAGACTTCAGTGACCTACTAGTATAAGATGCAAGGAAGGGTTTCTTCTGTTCCTGAACTCCATTCATACAGCACTGTATAACTGCAGGAAAAAGTAGTTACATCATTAAGGGAATTAGCTCCTTTTGTAAGCACTTCAGTGCAGTCAGAATCAGTGCTGTAACCAATTACATACATCATACGTTCCTGTTTCCTTAGAGAGTATATCTAAATTGCTTTCAATCCTTGAATATGTGCATGAGTCAGAAGTTAGTATCACTTAATATTACCATTAACTTGATTTTCTAATTTGATTGCATTTTTGGGAAAAATAATTACTTCTTCCAGGGGAGGCTGGAAGAAATTGATCAGATGTTGGTACATGGCACCTAGTTAAAAATTATTAAGTTATTTTACTATGTCCATTGAAGTATGTTTATGGCTTAAATAGTTGATAAAAAGCAGGAATCTTTTTATTCTTTGCCAGCTTAAAGGATTTGTCACTCCTCATTTAGCACTGTTGGTGCGAACAATACAACATGTGTTTTATAATAAGTTACTAACACAGTCATTATGCAGATGTTTCCCTAAAGGGACTTTCTCCTTCAAAACTCCCCAGGTGTCAGACTGATACAAAGAATATTTTAGGTATCATACTGTAAATGAGTATAACAAGCTAAAACCTGATGTGTATAAAACTCTTATTTAAAAGTCATGAAAATTTTAACTACACACAGTCTACAGGACTAAATACTTGCTCTAATCCTTAATAAAGGGTGTTGATTTTGATGCTAGGCATTCACCTGATTTCTTAGAAAAAGCATGTTTATATACATCTGTACAGCATAAGAGTCCTTTCACAAACTGAGCAAGCATTTGAAGGCACAGTGATAGTACCTTGACACCAAAGTGATTGAACTTACAGGCCCTTTCAGATAAGCAACTATCCTTCGCATGTTTCTAAGAACGGCAAGTCCAAGTACACAAGAGAAGACCATTCATCAGTGTACAGCAGGTAGCAGTAGAAGGATGAATAGTTTTAACTAGCTGACCAAACTTGCTGTACAGCTCAAGTAGAGTGGAGAAGCCAGCCCTGAATAAAGCTTCCCCAAAGGCATGCAGTATATTAAAAAAAAAAAAAAGTCAGTGTCTCCTGTTTTACACTGGCCTGCTGGGCTGCACTTCCAGCTAGTGTAGACATAGCCAAAGTGATTCTCATGTTGCAATTATTAAAAGTGATGCAAGTAACCAACTAAATGCTTAATGTCAGTCAGACAGAACAGTAATTTTCAACATAAGTGGATCAAAAAATGCAATCACTTCCAGGCAGAATTATTTAGAAGCAACCTTCCAGCTATCAACACCAGAGAACTGGCCAACTTTCTATACTGGGCCAAAAAGCAATAGCAACCAATAGCAAAAAAGCAGAGCAACAGGTTTTTCCATTTCAGGGGCATTTAATAATAATAATAATAATAATAAAAGCTTTTTCCCCAAAAACTTATTTTTTAGCTCATTTGTTTTCGCTTGTTTATTCATCTTTTTCCTTCTCTGAAGAAATGGTGACTTGGTGATTTTTCTTAATAGTTTTTCCAATCTTACACATGAGCAAGAAAAGCAATTTTGCCTTCCTTATTTCTGAAAGCAGATCTGAGGGAGTTCAAATTCCTTTTCAAGATGTTCCCAACAAGCAAAGAAATTGTCATTTAACTGAATTGTTTGTAATTAGCTTTAACGTTAAAAAGATGGGTTCAAAAAGTGAACAGCTGTAAATAAGGTTTTAAAAATAAAGGACAACCTAAAAGATTAGCAGATCTTTCCTCCAGAAGATAGGATGTCCTTTCCAAATCTTCAGACACATTTTTCCTTTTTCTTGTTGAGAGAGTATATCTGTATAGCATTAAGCAATGGTCACATACTTTGTGTGTGTGTGTGTGTGTGTGTGTGTGTGTGTGTTACATACACGTGCTTTATATACAGGCATAACAATTTCTCAGCCAAAAGTTGCAGTAGCCTTTGATCTGTGAATATCTATGTTTTGAAGGTTAAAAATTATGAACTAACATATAAACCCTTCCCTTAACTTAGCTGAATATATATTACTGTAACTATAGGCTTTCTAAGAATCAGGAAGACACTGATTTCTATGGAAACTTTGGCCAGTACAGAATTCTTCTTTCACAGTGTATTGCTTTTACAGTGCTGCAGCCTGGCAGACTCTCAATGTCTTTCTCTAGCTATATCATGAAATGGGCCTGGATTATGGAATATTATATAAAAGGCACCTGGAATTCTTCAATCTTTCAAATCTTTGGAAGATTAAATGAATTCTGCAGCAGGTTTCCTAACTTCAGTAGCAATAATATCCAGGTTGTCTAGACTTCTGTTCTTTTTAGTCTGTAGTTGAACTGTCACTTAACTAATTAAAGGAATTTGTCATATACACACAGGTTAGGGTTTTTATTTACTTACTGAATAGTTCACCCTGGAATTCCTAGGTTTTAGCCATTACATGAAAAAGAAAAA